CAAACAGCATGTTGTTTTACAAATTATTATACACATATTATAGGAAATTTAACTGTTTACAACATTTAAATTACTTATTTTTCAATTACTTATATTAAATGAATCTTTAAGGTGGGATGTTTGAAATTTAACACCTCCTCTCACCAGTGGATATTTGTAAGGGGAATAGTACCTGCATCATACCCAATGAAAAAATAAACCCATTCTTTTAATTTGTTTTGTTTGTTTTTCAGCCCCACATCAAACGGTTGGCCTAAAAAATAGAAGCATTTCGTCGGTAATTAAATTCTCTATAAGTTTGATTGTGATACTTGTTTCCTAGAATAGGCCATTACTGAATTACAGCGATCTAAAGCTAAACATTTGGCAAAATAGAAAAAAAAATGATTTTTTTGTTTTTTAATTGATAATCTTTGTATCCATAAGTCCTAGAAACAAATTGTTAATGTTATAGGAAATTTAATTGTCTACAACATTGATGTTACATATTTTTCGCTAAATCGCACCAAAACGGAGATATAGGCGAAAATCTCTAGAAAGTACACATTCGATTTTTCCAATATGTTGGCGGGCGCGAAAAGGGGGAGAATTGTGCATTTTGTATTTTAAACACCTACTTACCATCCTAGACAACAAAATTTAGAACTACCGGACCATGTAATACAAACCCCTACTCACTGGACTAAATCAGCTGTGCGTTATATTGGGCACGTTCTGGGAACATGTATTCATCAACGCATGCACCGGTGCAGTTGATGCTGTGACTTTACCGATAGCACCCCAGGTCAAGAGTCATGGGATCCCAGAACTATTTTAGAGGGGAGTTAGCCGTTGCATATCGGATTGTCATTTAGACATCAACCTACTATTTACTTTATAATATTAAAATTTAACAAATTTTCCTCAAATAATAAATTATTTATATATTATTCACTTACTAGTAATATAATCCATCAAACTGATAAACAATTGATAATTTATTTGATGGACCCGCCATCTTGCTTTAGTTGTAGACTTTTGTCCAATAAACTGACCAATCAGAAGCCACTGGTGTATTATGCACCGTACAATATCTCAAAATACGAAATAGCTGTCTACTAGGTAAACTCATCGGTCTCCTGAGGGATGCGGAATACTGCACCCGGAAAACCACCCCCTTCCCAGGTGAAACGTGACAGCACAAAAAGTCTTTTGTATCTACTATAGCGTACAAACACACTTACACACACACACACACACACACATACACCAACTCTTCTTCTATAGATAGATTTTAGTAAAAATGCAATGAGACAAATTATTGGATTCGCTTAGTCTGCAGGTTTGTTGCGGCGGGACTCCCATATCGGGGTGTAACTATTCCTCTCCATGAAATCAATGTTGAATGGAGATCGTACAGTAATCGAGGTATAATGATTTGTGTTCAACACCATTGGCAAGGCACTTCAAGCAACATTTACGTTCAAATCCAAGTCTCTAAAATATATTATGATTTAAAATTCTCTAATAAAATATATGAAAATATCGACTGGTTAAGAGCGGAATAACACATTAAAAGCGCATCAGTAAAAAGTAGGACATCCACTGGTGTAATTGAAGTTGAGCAGTCTTGGGGGCGGGTCGCAACCGTAGGGACTATTAATGCTGCAAATGAAGGTTCAATTAACAACTGTTATTTACAGTTTTGCGGTGCAACTGACTCGGAGCCGTGGGTCAAGTGTGGAGTGATTCCTGTGGCGTGGTGATGGCCGCTAAGAACAGTGATCGGCGCTGAAGGACGGCATTCTCCAAAAATGAGAGGCTACAAACCAAATTACAGCGGCGACCGGTTGATGGCATGATGCCTCGCTGCGAAACGTAACCGCACTTCCGCCTTCTCACACATAGGATACAATGGACCCTTGGTAACAGATAGTGAGTATTCCTCGATCACATGCTAGGCTAGGGTCAACAGGGTCATACTTAACTACAAAATAGAGGGCTTTGGGGTAAAACAGTCTTATATTACGTGAGTAGTGTGCATATGTAATACGGTTTGATCCCAAAGGCCTCGATATCGTAGTTAACGTAACAGATATGTTGACATGTAAATGTTCGAAGACGATATATTCTAAACGGTACTGTATACCTAATCCATCTATACCTATCTATACCTAACAACAATAATTGGTCTATAGACTGTGATTAAACTTTATGAAAAGCTTACCACTCAATGTTCTACAGGTTCAAGTAAACCACCAGCCCTAAATGGTTGGTTATTATTACTCATCATGTGTAAAGCGACAATAATACCCTTAGGCTATACTTAACAAAAATAATTGGTCTTGTAGGAGCTTGCAGGCACATATTATAAAGTTTGGACATATTTATAACTGCAAATGCCAAAAGTGTTAATTTGGGAAGTTTCATTTAGTCTTGCATTCAAATTTAAGTGATGATCTGAAGTTCTATATTGGTTATACGAATTCCAGAATCGTCACTAAATTTCTTTTATTCTATGCTATAACTATTTTATCATATTTTAGGATAATATAATTCTCACATTTATATTATAACTATTTCAACTAGCTCTGAGGTCATCAACCTCCCTGTAGTTCTGTAGTTGCAGTCTACAAAGCTTGGGTTATGAGTAATGGCTCGGGTCACACCGTCAAACTGGTTTCAAACCTGTAGCATGATGATAAAGTTGAACCATAATAATAAATAAATTAGCTCACAGGAAATTTACAATTGCAAAAAACCTCAGTGGGTTGAGACGGCTCGGACTGAAATCAATGAGGCTGGTATTCCTAGTTCTATTTCCTCTTACTGTTGCGAATAAGATGTTAGGTGCTTTTTAGGTTTTGAGACAAATTTAAAATCGGACCTTTTGTTTTTACGGGTTGTCCGTTCAAATCTTGGCCGCGTTGTGTTTCTTACTCCGCGCACTACTATTATAATAGTAGTAAAATAATATGTAAATGGTGTCCCGGAACTCTTTAGAACCCTTTTGTATATTTGTTCCTTAGGTAAAAACAATGCAAAAACGCCATATAAACATGGGTCTAAGACTGGGTCTAAGATGCATGGTTTTGTGTCTGTGTGTCTGTATGTGGTTTTCACAAATGAATCCATAACGTTCGAATTCCTTGAGTGATAGACTTGAAACTTGGTACGTAGTGACAGGTAAGGCAATTTTTTTGCAAAAAGTATCAGGTTTATAAATTGCACCAATCCAAAAGGACTGCCATTTAAACATTTTTTCTTAAATAACTGAAAACCGTGATTTAAAAAAATAAAATACTTTAATGTTATTATTTTTCTACATCCTGTATACAAGAAGGTAGCAAAATATGTTAAAAACTGTGTCATTTTATAAGCTTGCCAACCATATGCTACACTATTTAGATCTGACTTTGTTTGTTTTACTGGTTTGAATACTAGAAAACACATGCAAACTTTTACTGTTTTACGTTTTTACTGTTTAAACTGAAACAAAAATACAGTATAAGTTTTGCTTAATACATGCCTACTATCTTAGGTTTAAAATGTTAAAAAACCCCGTGTTTTAGAGTCTTCAAACCACTAAAGCGAACATAAGCAGAATTAAACCTTAATAGAAGTGTAGCATATAATTGAAAAACTTACAAAATGGTGCAGATTACAACATATTTTGCTACTTTCTTGTATACAGGGTGTAGAAAAATGCAATCGAACAATGTTTTTTTTTACCTTTTATCAATGGCCTGAACTTTATACCTTATATTAACAAAAAACCAATAACTTTATTGGAGCTTTAGTTTACGTTTAAATTTGAAGTGTAGTTTACGTTTCAGGTGTAAAATGGATTGGTTCGTATGTATTTTTGACATAATGAGATATAATGAGAATAGTTAAAGAAAAACGTTTTAACCAGACACAAGATCGTGTATTAAAGGTAGTATCACACATTTAGTTTAAAAGAACTTGATAACCTAACTATTTACTATTAAATTTCCACCTCATGACATTTGATCCCCATAAACATCATTGACATGGATTCCAGAGCTCAGAGTAGGAATGGATCCGAAAGCTAACCCAAGTTTGGGGAGAATCGTTAGAAACTCGAGTTTTTATATTACTGTAACCTTTCAGCGGTGTTTTTCTTTTGAACCCACCTCACTCTCCATCTGACGCATGGATCTCGCAGATGATTTACATCAGCTCTTCATCCAGTAATTCTGTCTAAAGTTTCTGCCTTTTATGGAAAAAACTTTTGTTTTAATACATTGTTGATTTCCCTTTGGACTTTATAAAAACGCATTTATGAAAACGCCATTGTGACATTTAAACACTTAATCAATGTATTATAAATTATGTACAGTTCTTTAACATGGTACTTTGTTCTTTTTTATCTCAAAAAAATTAAATCTTCCACCGATGTTAACTAATTCGTTAAAACGGGAATGGAGTGCATGCTAGATAAATCCCGCCGAATCACCAATGGATTTAATCTAAGTGATAATACCGTAAACCCTAGGTCTAGCCTGAAGTAATGTGAAAAACAATCCCAGGCTTGTGCCTAGCGTCCTATGACAAAAAGGTCGATAAATGGTCTTTAGGCAAGATCAAATAACAACAATAATCAATAATAATAACTGACAATGAAACTCTATTAGTCGACGGTGTTACCGAGGTGTTATGAGGACATGGTTCCTTTTTTTGGCCAATAGTATTCCTCAAATGCCGGGTATCCAAAACATTACTCTCATACCAAAGTCTTGAGTCCACTAGGCTATCAATACACCATAAGTAGATTTAAACGGGAGTACTGAGCAGAAATAGCATAGGAGAACGTTTTTAGTCCTCGAATGTTTGGAAGCTGGTACGTTTGATAATGTGTTGTGGTAACGGGTATTAGATACAGTAAGGATGGCAAACGGATTGAAAGTGATAGAGAGAAAGAGAGCGAGAGACGTGAGAAGGGATAGAGAGAGACAGAGGAGTGAGGAGTTGCTCCGCCAGCTTCTTCAGTCCTCAGTGGCCAGCAGTCGTGTCTAGTGTTGGGTTCAATGACCTCTTTATTTACCAGTAAGTAAACTATTCTACCCTTCTAATATTGTTATTGATCGAATCTTATAATTTCAATATTAACTATATGCAAATCGTAAAACCGTAATAATAATAGAGAACTTTGAGACCTTCGCCCAACGGCACCGTTTGCAGTTGTGTGGCGTGTTTGAGTTTTGCTCTCGTGTGGTAGCTAGTGCCGTTTGGGAAATTCAAATCATGTGAGGTGAAATATCTTTAAAATAATATGAAATACATAATTTGTATAACAAATATATGGGATGATGGTGTTAAATATTCCGACAGGTATTATTTTCCATAATGTATAATGCTTACATATTGTGATGTATGTTATCGTTATTTACTGTGAATTTATAATTTCATTTGTTTATTATTATAAAATGAACTTAAAGGACTTTTCTTGATACTGAGTTTTAACAGATAACAATTTTCTAATGTCGGGTTCGTAATATATTTTACCGAGGTCAGGGCTGTTGACGTGAATGGAGAGTAGTTCCGAAACTCGATATATAAACTCGTTATTTGGCATTCTTTGGTAATCTAGTGTACTTATATGATTGTATTCGATAGTAAATTGGACAATTATACTCATTTTACAATGTTGTGGTTTTGCAAAGCATACTGTCTCCCCGGACAAAATTCATATTACAACTAGACACACTGTAGTTCAATTTATGTTTGTGACAAGTAGGATAGGAACAAGCTGATTTGAACATCGTGAATATGCAATCATACATGTAGATGTAGATTCACTCATCATTGTTGTGAAATAGGGCAAATTTTATAGTGGGCCGTAACTTTGTATAATATTTCATCACAATGCAGAAAAACCTTGGTATAATCACATAAATCTATAGATTTGAGCAATAAAGACAACACTAAACATAAAGCAATTTTAAACCGGTAAAATTCTAAATATTAAATTATATTTTACAATATATTCCACTTCCAATGTTTACAATAAGGTGTTTGCTTTGTTTTGGGTTTTGTCACACGATGTAGTTTTGAAAATAGAATCGAATTTTAAAAAAAGGGTTGACGTTTTCCATTCTATTATTTTGGTTTAATCAATAAGATAAAATTGGACTATAGAACTGGACTGAACTTGGACTATAGAATGAAACTAAACGACAGTACTCTATTACAAAAACATGAACAATTTATTTTTAGAATTCACCTATAATTCATACAGCCGAATGAATGTCTAATAATACGTTGTGAAAACATTTTAAATGTGATTTTGCGGTGATAGTTTAAACACAGCACATGTGCATACAATCTGCAAAAAATAATTTTTTAACTGCACAGTAGTCGAGCAGGTTTTTGCATAGTACACATCAATATAGAGTTTGCCATATTAGGTAAAGGTGACTCTCACTTTGTTGACAACTTTTTGCATTCGATTTCCCATACACAAAACTATGCAAAACTCGGAATCGTATCTGTCTCTTGTTTTGTATGTTAAGCTACCCAACTCAGTATAGGGTAATTAATAGTATTGTAATCTATATCAGTTATAACATTACGTATAAATAACCTACAGTTTTCCAGTTGGTGTGATATATAACAGTGCTGGGTGCAGCGTTATTGGGCGTAAATTATGTATATAAAGCTGCCAATGATAATGGGGAAACATTAAAAAAAGCGCGTTGCTAGAAAATAAATTAGCAAACATTGTATTTAAGTTATAGTTTTAAAACCGCATGAGAACAAGCGGTGCCTGAACATACTGCTCCATAACCAATGCGTTCTGGACATTTCGCTTCGACTAATGTCCGAATAAACGTGAGTATTTCATACTGACAATCGTGAAGTGGGTAAAGATTTCGGACATTGTCCGAATTCGGAGTTTTAGCGTAACATATCGGTTTCAACGTTTTGGTTGGTAAAATGTATACAAACATAAAGTAAATATAAAGTACGACGGGGTAGCTAAATAGACACTCGATTCGCCTACTTTTCATACTTAGGCGATTCGTATGATTTAATTATACATATCTATTGTGGATTATTAAAAGATACTTTTATTTATCATTTGTTTACATCAGTTGTATGAGCAAGTGTGTTTAGCAATACACTTGAAAATGTACTAAAATACATCGCGTGCTGTATCCTATCCTACATCTTCAGTTAAATCAATACATTATTGTTAATGTTTACTCTTTCTGTGTATTTTTCTCAAACGAGTCTGTTTCCAGGTTTATCAATTTGGTCATATTGTTTATTAGCCAAGTGTTTACAGACATAAATATGTAGGCTTTGGTACCTTTTGTGGTTTAAATCATGAGAAAATACAAATTTTATTTCGAATCATAACAACAACTTAACAATTTGTTTTCTCCTCGTGGCAGTAAACCTAAATACAGTACTTGGTTGAGCTGATGTTATCCTGAGGGTTTACGTAAATAAAGTGACTGACAATTCGCTTAGTCTATAAATGTTAGCTGTTTATAAAGGTTAGCTATGATTTGGCAGTTTCATATTCTATAGAGTAAATATTGCGTTCATTACTTCAAGATTAGTAGTACTATTCATTACTCAACTATATATAGTTTTGACAGGATAAGAAATTTGTGAGTCAGAAGCCCTCGTTTATAAACTTTAGTATATTGAAATGTACTGAATTGAAAATGTCCCTATTAAAAACTTAAAAAACAATGAAGATATAAAAAAATGATATACTGTATTAATTACTGTATCCATCATTCTTACATTGATACTTAAGCATAGTTGTTTTTCAACGAGCCCCCAGATGTTTCAAACTTCATAACACAAGCTTCTGTATACGGACAGAGCAATATAATGTATAATCTAGTGCTAGTGTACCGTTGTATCCTAATACCTCCCACTCACGGCATTGCTCTGTTCTCGGAATGGATAGTTTCCCGTTGGATATCGCACCGTGGTTGTGTACTGGTCGAATGCTTAACCAGAGCAGCGTTACAGCGTACTGTTCTCTGTTCTATCTCTGGATAAGCCAGCACTAGCAGCTCAGCGCAAACGCAGTGTGACGCTAACGGACTAGTTACTACGCAGCCGAAGTAGTGCAGAAGCGCAGAGCTACTGTCATCATGACTTTGACTGCGGATAATCACAGATGCGAGTCTCCACTCAGCGCCCTACTCAGAGGCAGAGGTTGCGTGATGAACTCTGTAATGTCCAACACCGTTGCAACTAATCCTATCCTAGAAAAATAACTACGGGACTGCGCAAAAGTGTGACTGTGATCGAGCCACAGAGTCTGGTTGTGGTTTTACTACGGTGACTTCATTCCCTTCCATTCAAACTATGGAATTGGTTCTGACAGATAGGGTGGAGATATTGATACACATATTCGAGAGGCTGGGTCGCTGAATAGTCATACGGATTAGTTTTAGCTTTTACGACTCATATAACTGTAAATTCCATTCCCATGAAGACGTTGTAGCCAGTTTAAGAATAAAAGTGGACTAGTTGAGTTCAGCCACCGATAGTGAGTTGAGCCACCTACAGTGAGTTGAGCCATCGATAGTGAGTTCAGACACCTACATTGAGTTCAGCCACCTACAGTGAGTTGAGCCACCTACAGTGAGTTGAGCCACATACAGTGAGTTGAGCCACCTACAGTGAGTTCAGCCACCTACAGTGAGTTCAGCCACCTACAGTGAGTTGAGCCACCTACAGTGAGTTGAGCCACCTACAGTGAGTTCAGCCACATACAGTGAGTATAGCCACCTACAGTCAGTTCCGCCACCTACAGTGAGTTGAGCCACCTACAGTGAGTTGAGCCACCTACAGTGAGTTGAGCCACCTACAGTGAGTTGAGCCACCTACAGTGAGTTGAGCCACCTACAGTGAGTTCAGCCACCTACAGTGAGTTCAGCCACCTACAGTGAGTTCAGCCACCTACAGTGAGTTCAGCCACCTACAGTGAGTTCAGCCACCTACAGTGAGTTCAGCCACCTACAGTGAGTTGAGCCACCTACAGTGAGTTTAGCCACCTACAGTGAGTTTAGCCACCTACAGTCAGTTCCGCCACCTACAGTGAGTTGAGCCACCTACAGTGAGTTGAGCCACCTACAGTGAGTTGAGCCACCTACAGTGAGTTGAGCCACATACAGTGAGTTGAGCCACCTACAGTGAGTTGAGCTACCGACAGTGAGTTGAGCCACCTAAAGTCAGTTCAGCCACCTACAATGAGTTGAGCCACCTACAGTGAGTTGAGCCACCTACAGTGAGTTGAGCCACATACAGTGAGTTGAGCCACCTACAGTGAGTTGAGCCACCTACAGTGAGTTCAGCCACCTACAGTTGAGTTCATCCACCTACAGTGAGTTGAGCCACATACAGTGAGTTGAGCCACATACAGTGAGTTGAGCCACCTACAGTGAGTTGAGCTACCGACTGTGAGTTGAGCCACCTAAAGTCAGTTCAGCCACCTACAATGAGTTGAGCCACCTACAGTGAGTTGAGCCACCTACAGTGAGTTGAGCCACCTACAGTGAGTTGAGCCACATACAGTGAGTTGAGCCACCTACAGTGAGTTGAGCCACCTACAGTGAGTTCAGCCACCTACAGTTGAGTTCATCCACCTACAGTGAGTTGAGCCACCTACAGTGAGTTCAGCCACCTACAGTGAGTTTAGACACCTACAGTGAGTTCAGCCACCTACAGTTGAGTTCATCCACCTACAGTGAGTTGAGCCACCTACAGTGAGTTCAGCCACCTACAGTTGAGTTCATCCACCTACAGTGAGTTGAGCCACCTACAGTGAGTTCAGCCACCTACAGTGAGTTTAGACACCTACAGTGAGTTCAGCCACCTACAGTTGAGTTCATCCACCTACAGTGAATTCAGCCACCTACAGTGAGTTGAGCCACCTACAGTGAGTTGAGCCACCTACAGTGAGTTGAGCCACCTACAGTGAGTTCAGCCACCTACAGTTGAGTTCATCCACCTACAGTGAGTTGAGCCACCTACAGTGAGTTCAGCCACCTACAGTTGAGTTCAGCCACCTACAGTTGAGTTCAGCCACCTACAGTGAGTTCAGCCACCTACAGTTGAGTTCATCCACCTACAGTGAGTTGAGCCACCTACAGTGAGTTGAGCCACATACAGTGAGTTGAGCCACCTACAGTGAATTCAGCCACCTACAGTGAGTTGAGCCACCTACAGTGAGTTGAGCCACCTAAAGTGAGTTGAGCCACCTACAGTGAGTTGAGCTACCGACAGTGAGTTGAGCCACCTACAGTGAGTTGAGCCACCTAAAGTGAGTTGAGCCACCTACAGTGAGTTGAGCTACCGACAGTGAGTTGAGCCACCTACAGTGAGTTGAGCCACCTACAGTGAGTTGAGCCACCTAAAGTCAGTTCAGCCACCTACAGTGAGTTGAGCCACCTGCAGTGATTTGAGCCACCTGCAGTGAGTTGAGCCACCTGCAGTGAGTTGAGCTACCGACAGTATGCGTTGATGTAAATAACTTATTTCTGTTGAATCTGCTAACGCTGTGGCAAGCCAAGCTTTAGGAAACACTTCATGTTAACTATAGCATCTTGTATATCACATACATTAACAAAGTTTTCGAATATAAAAGAAATATAGAATTCGAACAGTACTTAGAAGTGCAATACACTTTTTATTCGTACTTTTATCAAATCCTTTAATATCGATTAATTACTTCTTGTACTTGAATAATTGTTCCCAGTCTGCGATATTGTTTTGACAGTTCATTTATACATGTATTACAACAACTCTGAAGCACCACTGTACATTCACACAAACAGTACAATAAGATAAATGTAGATAACAGACAAAACCTACGATATTTTAGCCCGACACTGAAATTATTCAGCCTATAGTTTAACTCAATAGAAGAAGGGCCAGAGTAATTAGATATTTTTAAGTACTGTCAGTGCCTATCGCACTTACCTAAACTTACAAAACACTCTTGAGTTACGGCTGACCTTCAATACAAATTGTCAATACAGTGTAAAAAATATGTGTTTTTTTTTTAACTAATAGGCCCCAATACACTTAACCAATATAATTATAGTAATATGTTATAAATCTAAGCTTAATATAATAATTAATCAAATTTATATAGGGTGTTACATTACTGGTACAGTATGACAATTTCATTGTGTTATACTCTCTATCTAACATAATCATTGTACTACTGTATATATAAAACAGCATGACCTTCTTTACTCTTAAATAAGTTCAAAAAGAATCAGGTCCTGCATGCCCGCTTCGCTCGGTTAATCTTGGAGGTGTTCAACGAAAATAGTAAAAAAATTCTCAAGCTCTGTAAATAAGAACAGGCAATGTGTTAAAATTCCCCAAAGTCAGGGCACATTAATGGGAAGTATATATGCAAATTTCACTTAAATGAAAATATATTCACCTAAAACTTGTCCTTTTCACCTCTTTACAACCGGTAGCTTTCTCTTACGTTCATTGGACTTCGATACCTGAGATACCGAGGACTGAGTAGAATTTAGAATGCAAATCGCGTAATTTGCACAACTCCTGTTCGTTTAGTTTCTCCCCAGTAAAGACTACCCATGTGTGATTGCGGTATTTATAGGCTACTAGCATATTGTTTACTTCTAGTATTCAGTCATTCGACTATATACAGAAGTCATAATACATGATTTAAAACAAACTCATTTTAACATTTGATTAGATGTTTACGTCGTAGGCACATTTTTAAGGGGAGGATGAGTGAAGTAATGGTAGTTTTGTTGCTGACTAATATCAGTGGTACTTAAGTCAGAACCATAATCTGTAGTTTCGTGTTTACGTTTCAATACGGGTAGTCCCACTATAATAATTCGTACGCTTGACTCATAGGCACTATGATCCGTAGAGAAAGCGGACATTGCTACTGTGTTTTTAAATAAAGACACTAGGCCCATTATGCAGTATGATCTGTAAAGTAGGTGTATCCTTTCATTTATTGGCGAATTTCCCATATAGGGAATAAGCTATTACCGTAGTACTCATGGTAAGACCTGGACCCGGGACTAATTTACTTTTTCGTTTTGAGGTCCCTAGAGGCCAAAAACACCATCCGTTCAAATTCGTAGACATATATATTATATATATATATATATATATATATTATATATATATATTATATATATATATATATTATATATATATATTATATATATATGTGTGTGTGTGTGTGTGTGTGTGTGTGTGTGTGTGTGTGTCCGTTAGCACGACAACTTGAGCAAAAATGATCCGATTTTGATGAAATTTGGTACAAACGTTTAAACTTACATTCATTCGAACGAGATCGTGAACCAGCCTGATCGGACTATGGGAACGGGGGTTTATGGGGGGATGGGATAAAAATAGATTTCCCCATTTTTGACCCTAAAAACACAAAATTTCACAATTTCTTTCCAAACCATTTTGTAGAGCTTATAAAAAAACAACGAATAATGTATATTGAAGCGTTATTATGCGCCTAATGGTTACGGAGAAAATTTCCAAAAAAATTTAATTTAAAATTCCCATGTTATTCTTATGGAGAATAAGTCAACTGTTGTAGTTTTGATTATTTATGAACATATTTTGATCAAATTAATTTGGAAAATACATTAATTTGTTACTAATCTACAGTATTAAAATTTTGCAACAAAAAACTTTTACCCACCCTGTCGCAGCAAACCTTAGTACTCGTTAAACTAATTATATTTAAATAGGGAATAAATGTAATATTTTTAAGGAGACATTTTAGTGTAAATCCAATCAGGCAAATGAAAATTCACAAGTCTGCAGGTTTGCTGTGGCGGGGGTATTTTATATACGAGCCTGTAGTGCAGGTGAACCTTCAATATAATTTACTAGGTTTGTAAGTTAGCTGTCCCCGTCTATAACATAGGTTAAACACACTCTTTCATATAATTACCATATTTATTGATTAGCTGAGGACAATTATTTTAAAGATGTTTCCTTCAGGTTCATGCAGAGGGATTTTTTTGTTCACGACACTTTCATATTATATAACATCGTATTTGGTAGTTAATATTCGACTAAATACAATAATCTAATTACAAACCAATATTGTCCTGAAATTTTATACCGAAAGAGTTAGCCCAACATCGTTGAATTTAAATTTTAAAATTAAGAGACATAAAGTTGACTAACGTAAGTTTTACACGCATGGCTTCAGATTTTACTGAACTGTGTGATGAAAAGTCTACTTGCATTATCCAAAGTCAATGTCCATAATTACAAAATTTAAAGTAGTATTATTTGTATTACCAGCAGTTCTAAAAAACACTATTCCTCAAATCAGCTGATTCTTGTTTCAAACCATATGTTTGTTTAATTCAGAATTATTGTGAATAATTTTATCCTATGATATCGGGGTGAACTACATATCACCCCGTCGACCAATTTAATCAATTAGATACAAATATTCACACTCTTCCTCAGACTGAACTTCCAATTCGCCACACAACTGATATTCGCTGTTCTCTCACTATAAACAGGTAGGAGATGAAATTGGTTCATCATGAAGTGGGATTAGAAAGAGTTCTAATCCGAGTGACAATTCTTTGGACAACGTGAGGCTCGGATGTGATCATTGCAAGCATGACACCTCTTAAGAGAGAGCCGCGTATGGAAGAAACTATGCGAACCGAAACTTTCGTAAAATGGAGCCTTAGATGACTCCATGGAAAGAGTTTGGCATTTTGATAATACATTCCACATAAATTGTAAGACACCAAGTTGGTGATGTAGAAAACAACCTCTGATTTCTACACACAATAATATAAAAACTAGAGATCGCTACGTATCACGTTTGATACGAAATAATGTTAAAACTTTCAACAAATAGATAATATAATGACTTTAATCATGAAACTGCATCGGAAGATTGTTTTTGTGTTTTAGGAATATTAATAGCTTAGGCCTACGTCCAGCTGATATTGTCAAACTGAATATTAAGGTTAGTTATCTATCACCTTCGTACATTTCATGTGTGTTACTATTTTTGTAAAACATGTTCTAGAACACACTATTGTATGTTTCAGATTTTGAATACTTCTTCATTATCAGAATTCAAACTGCTTGACAATTAATTTGGAATTTTCAAAGGGAATCGTCGGTACGAAGGTTTGAATGAGGTAAGCTATCATAACTTATATATCACACCAGAGGAACTTATGATTTCAGTTGTTTATTGCTCTGGACCTTCCTAGCGGTTGTCTGTGTTATTTGCTATCTAGTCTCTGATGCAAATCGCTAACTATGAAATACCATAGGTTTTTATTCAATATCCCACTTTTTTTAGTGGTAAATTAAACACATATTAGTCCTTGGAAATACTGAATAGGTACTAAGATTTTTTTTCAAATTATTTAAAAAAATTATTTTTTTTAATAATTTGAAAAAATCTTAGTCATGGATTAAATATTCTACAATACATCAATAATTTGAAATAAATTGTACTGCGTAGAAGGTTATTTACTAAATAACCAAGTACAAACTTTTATCAGAACCATTAAACATTGAATAAATGGAAATATTCTCCATCCATAGAAAATTTTAACATTTAAGTAGGTAGTATTAAATCTGTATAAGACTGTATATAATACCTCTGAGTACAGTCATTTATTAAAGAACTATTTCCTTATTACATGGCAAATATGTGATGCAACAGCAGTGTGGTTCATGTGTGTGGTGTGTTAAAAGATGTGTTGCCGTATTTACATTATGATATAAGTAATTTAGATAGCTTCTCAGTTCTCTGATATGATTCAGTGGCCAAAACAATTAGGATCGTGTATTATACAAATTTACGAAGAACCGATTTTTACCCTGTTCAATGTTTTTCGCTTCGGCTGACGTCTACCGACTAACGTTACTGTATATGTAGCGTGGCATAACGTCCGATGTAGAGAAAGCGTGCAAGTTATTCGACCAACTTCTCTTTCATTAATACGCCACTTATAGCCATCATAATACGGATTGAAATTTTGAAAGTCAGTATCTCGGTACACCATAGTGTGCGAAAAACCACAACCCCGCTTCATATATTATCAATTACAATTTTTAAAACTATAAAATAAATTACTCCGAGATTAATTTTTTTTATGTTTTGACTCAAACACAATCTGATATATTTTAGTTTGTGATACAAATTTATATTACGAATATTAAAATATGCCTATATTTTAGTTTACAGTCGAACTAAATTACCGGAATACTTAAGGGAAATCAAATTACGTATTTAATTTAAATAAAATAAAAAAATAGCTTTATAATGGATTATTTTACTTTATATTGTAGGATATGGGGTGACAAACTTAAACTTTGCCAGTGATCATTTCGATTAGTAAATGGGTTCCCGCCACCTATTACTACTGTAAATCGGTGGATTTCTCGTAACGCAATTTCATATCTATATAATTAATACGCTACATGAAACTTTGTCGGTTGAACTCCTCCGCCATTTCTTAACCGATTTTATCCATTGACATCTCATTGGAAAAAGCGTGTCGCGTAGATTTGCAAACTGGCCTTACATTGTTGACAAAGTCGCTTGGGTTTTGTCCCAGTGGCTTTGAAAGTTCCCATGTTATCCTTATGAAGAACATAACTGTTTACGTTTTGATCAGCTGTATAATTTAATTGCTGTTATTTATTTTTCGATTCAATGAAACGCATTGAGTAAATTTATTTACTATTTGAGTTTGTGTAAACATAACCCCCAAAACGAAAACGGACCGTGTTAGTATGGTTGTATCTTAAATTTTTGTATTTATCGTTGCTTTGTGTCGCTATGACGGATCGTGTTAGCATGATTGTAACTTAAATTTGTGTATTTATCGTTTTTTTGTGTAGCTATAATTTGTTTATTTGTTGTTTTTTTTCTTTTAAATGCCTCCGACGCGACGACAACGAAACATAGAAAGGAGGCGTACACGTCAGCACCTGACCCTGGACAATCTCAACTATTAGGTTACGAATGCGAGCTAACACTACCCCTAAAAGACTTTTCGTTCTCAATTGACCCTCTATCAATGACATGTGTTGCCTGTACAGCGAGGCATTTTGAGAAGGAGAAAACCAGCCGGAATGCTTTAGGTTTATCAATAACGAAGATAACCAGGTAATCAGGGTCTGAGTTACACAATGGTAATATTTGAGTTGACTCTTTTTAAACTCATTGTAAATATGACTGTTATTGGTTTTGAAATAACCCCTGTAATACTTTGCAATTGCTCGAATTCGAGCAATATGTACACTAGTAGTTTAAATTGACTAAATGTATCTCTCAACTGTGTATTATTGTAAAGAAAGTAATGGATACAATTTTGTAAGCATAATACATATTGCAATTTGGTCAACCAGTTCCTCGTAGTTTAATAATTTTGTTATATATCAGTTGAAATAGGGTTTAGGCGTCCTTTTCTGGTGTATGTAATATCGGTTCTGACTTTTTATTTATTATTTAATATTTTACCAATTTAAAACAGTTTTATCAAAATAAAAATATATGTTTGTAAACAATCGCTAGTCTTTTCAGGGAGTATTTTCCCTTCTCCTAATTTTTTTTCTTGATTGTCTCACTGTCGGATGTTTTGCTTTTATAATGACAACTGCATTGTTTCTGGCATATTCTTTAGATCCCACAATAGGATGCGAAGGATACTTATGTATAAGATTAGAGGCCCAATAGAAAGAGAATCCTTATTGTCATCCTAAAGTTTCGTTCATTATGTTCACAATTCCTTCGAAGGTTTTCAAAGATCTAGAAATACCTAAATCATTGTAATTATGATAACAACAACAATCGTCGTATTTTTCATTAACTGAACATACCTATTATACTGCCTAACTATAGAGCATTATTGGAACACAGTCACATATTTAAATTACCAAACGTGCACCGCGCTGCTGGGCAAGAGTGATGATCGAGTTAAGGAAATCAAGGATTACAACGATTAGCGACTAGAAATCCCTAATAGGATTACCAATATAAATATACTATCGAAAACTAGCTATTCGATCTAAAAGACTAAAAAACCATTTCCTAAACCATCTAGTGGTAGAATTTAAATTGTATTTGTTATTTCTTGCTTTTGGATCAAAATAGATGTTCATACAATTTCTCCTTCCAAATCGGTCAACGGAGTATGTCAAAATAAAAAATGGAATATTGAACCTGTATTGAGTTTAATGTTTAAGCAAGCATTTTTTTAACACTAGATTCCCTTAAAATTGCGGACAATTCCTCAATTTTCAGCTAAATACCTATTTAATGTATCAGTGGCTATCTGGCAAAGACGTGGCGATTTGTCGGACTATCTATCGAGGGCAGTGTTATATCGGCTCCAGCACGTTCTGTCTGAGATCCAGTTTCAACATGCCTCACATGTCAAGGAACGTCGGTTACTGGAAAGTCTAGTCATTGACTTCGCTAAACTGTGACAGTAGATGTGATCCCCACTTGACGTTTACCGCAGTCATGAGTTTTTGTCTTCTTTCTATCGTAATCGTCCTCTATTACTGTATAAGATATTTGAATCTTCGACGAGATGATCACGTCACCCCGTATCATATAAATTCTTCTCTTTTAAAACTGTCCGACGTTAGAGAAATACGCATTATTATTATTACTCGTTCGGCCATCAATCTCAGATTTTTAAATGGTAGATGTGCAAGAAATACCCGCTCTGGCTCATCAACTCTCCAAATTTCTCACCATAAGACAACAGTTTTTAATAGATCATTTACAACAGCATGTCGCCTTTTGGAACTCCCTACCATTCACTATCAGGAGCATAGAATCCCGTTCCAGACCGACGGCGGCGCTGAAAGCGTACTACTGTATCTCGATCGGATTACCAAGCGGAGGGATGGCGTGCGTTAGGCCTGGGTGTGGCAAAGAGTGAATGTGTGTATATGCGTATATTAGGGACAAAGATTTATAACTTAAGTTGTTACTTATTATTTTGTTTATAGTTTCAAAAGTGTTATAATAATGTATTGTTTGGTTTATATTTAGTACATAAGAGGTTAACTTAACATCTTATATACTAGATTAACTGTAAGAAATTACCATGTGGTCCTAATGTACGCCTCAATAAAAAGGTATTTTCATTCATTCATCCATCCTCATTGCGTTTAACTTTAACCGGTTTAGAAGATTGTTGATCCATAAAGTCTTTTCAAGATAGGCCCTTAGCAAATGAAAAGGTAACCTAACATAGCTTAATTTGCATAGGGCGTCGTGACTATCTTCTTGAAAAGACCCAAACATTTTTTGTCCAAAGGCATTGTTTGGGTGTTTTAGTCTCTTTATGATATTTCCACCAATACTTCTTGCTACTCAACCGTAGATTTGTATCAAAAGAAATGCACTTTAGATTAAGAATAACCAGCTCAAGAATCCACAGTGCAAGAATGTAGTAATTTAGGATAGTAACCTCAACATTTAAAGGCGTTCAACATTCTAGCAGCAATTATGAACCCTAGAAACACCATACAGTAACTATTTGAAACTATAAAAAATTTTGAGATTTCATTACCAGTGTCAACAAACAAAGTGACTGTGAAACAAAATTATGTGTATAATTTGCCTTGAAATAATAGTGTCAATTTAGTTAGACTTTTTCTTCTGTCCAAATTACATTAGCTCCATAATGCGCACTTGTGATAATAAAATCGAGTATTTTATCTTAGGAATTGTTAAACAAATTACAAATGGTCATTCAAAATGCCTGAAGTACAGGAATCCTTTATAAAGCTAAACATTTTGAGAAATCCATGTTACACGTGTAAGCCAACATCCATTTGAACGAGTTCGCAAACCGGCCATATTTTGTCCCTATAAAGTGGTGTTTGAATGCGGGGTTCAGTTCGTAAAAATTTTCCACACATTTTGGATGGTCACCATACAAATTAAATGTAAAAGACAAACAATTTCGTTTTATATTTTTATTCTACTCCTATTGGTTACCGAGATCTTTTAAAATCATTTAACTTTGTCTCGCATGTTATCTTTATGAGACACTATGTATTTCTGTATGTTACCTGTTGATGAATATATTTGCTTAAAAGTCTCGTTGCAACAAACGTAAATAGAAGATTTTTGCATATTTCTTTACTTAAGGCTTTT